CTCCCTAGTTAGAGATGACAGGGACAGGGTAGAAAATTCATAGCTCTCACATTACTAGTCCTGCCCTAGCTAATAAGGGAATAGATGGAAAGTTTCCTGAAAGAAAAACGTAGATGTGGTTCATCAGTAAAAGAGCTCATTTCAGGGAGCTGGAAAGATCTGAAATTCCTAGAGGGATATCCTTCCTCATATTAGCACATAGGTTGACAGATGGCACAGCTTCATATGAATAGGAATTTTAAGTCGCTGTCTTTGAGTTGAAAAGATAAACCCCAGGCAGGTTTTGTAGAGCAGCTGGTCCTTCATGGGTTGGTGCTTGTGGGGATTTCTTCTTTAAGAAGCTAGGACAATGGTAGCTGTGAGTACCCCATACAGCACTGCACCTCTTCATTCCCTTTAGTCGTTTTCTCTGGAAAAAGCATGAAGCAGGAGCAGCTTGCTCCATGAGAAATTGGAAATAGCTCACCAGACTGGCTGGAGAATTTATAAAATTAGAAAAACAAAGCAGCAAAAGGCCTTGGCTCAACAGCATTACTTTTAGACTGTCTGTCTCTTTGAAGTAACAAGTCTTGAATCAGTTTATGAGCGTGAGCCAAGACAAACACTCAGCTCCATTTGGGAGTTTTGCTTCAGAGCAGCACATTAATACTCTTAAGCAGATGCAGGGCATGTAGTGGATGTTTTCTTTATCAGCAGCCCTAATCATCCCAAATCTCTCTTGCTCACTGTTAGCACACCCTCCTGTCAAGACTGCATCAGACATAGATGAGCTGTCTTACACAGTGCTTAGATTTCTCCTGAAAAAAACTCTGGGATAACTGGTCCTCTCCTCAGAAAATGTTTCACACAGAAACATGGGGGCTTCTCAGAGACTGGCCCGGTCCCTGCCTGGCATACACTATCTATACAAGCAGTAGCTGCTCCAGCTAATGCACCTTTCTTCACTATAGCCTCCCTGGAAACTAAACAAACCAAAACACTATTCACAGAAGATGGCCAATAAAAACGACAGGTATCAAAGGGACTTGCTGACTAGAGCAACCAATCTCAACAGTAACAGTATGTTTAGCTAGGAAAGCTCCTTTCTTTCTAAGCCCTTTACATACTTTCTGTAAGTGTTAGGAGATGAGCCCTGACTCAGACTTGGCTCCTTACTCCTACACTTGGCCTTTCAATGAGTAAATCCTTGCTTTTACCACAAAAACTAGTTGCCGGGCTGGATTATCCATGCTGATTCTTTGCAGGCAGGCACACGTGCGAGCCTACTTGATGTCTACGCAACTGACAGTGTTTGCTTTTTTCACCTTTACTATCAAGACTAGCAAATAAGAAGGACATGTCTCCTTACAGAACAGGAGTTAAGAAATAAAAACTGGATACAGTAAAAAAAATCTATTCAAAGACTGCCACCTTTTCTTTTGTTATGCATGTAATACACAGGTAGCACTGTAGTGCATCGTATGACTTCATATAACTGTGATTGCCACACCACTGCCTGCAGCAGGAACTCTGCATATTAGGCTTTCCCCAAAGCTGTTCTGCTTGGGGACATCCCTATGATGACTTCTGTAAGAAGCTAGGGTGATAGCAGCTCTGAGTACCTCAGACATCCATCCCAGTTCCCTTAGCAATTCTCTCTGGTAAAGGTATGAATAAACAGCAGCTTGTTCCACTTTGCACAGATGGAGAAAACCACGATCCCCTGTTGATGCTGCAGATCATTCATTCCAAGGTGCCTTTAGGAAGCAGCTGTGCAACGGAGAGCTCTGTGGAGGCTGTTTCAGAGTTACAAGTCAGTTACCATGTTGCTTGCTGTAGCTGAAGGTTAGCTGCAGCACCCGCTGTTGGCTTAAGCACCACAAAGTTGGAGAAGAGAGAGCAAACTTTGCCAGCTTCAGTTCTGTGCTCAGTTCTGCTCTGCCACATTCTCCCAGGGCTTGTCGCTAAGGTCACAACACTTTCAGCTAACCAGGTTTCCTGCTTTCTTGTTGCAGTCATAAATCTTAGAGGTCCCTCATTTTAGGGTACTCTTCAGATAGAAAAAAGTGATGTTTGGGCAGAAGTTCCAAATGAGACAAAGCAGCTTAAACAAAGGCTGATTCGTGTCTTATTTCTCAGGAAATGGCAGAAAAATCTGTCTTCAGCAGAGATCTCATGAGCATTTAATCTTGTCATTTTACATCTGGGAAACACTAAAATAATATCACTTAGCATCTCATTTCTGTGTCTGGGTGACTTGACTGGTTAGAAGGGAGAGGATGTGCTATAGTGATGTTCACCCAGGTGACAATGAAATCCTTTTGGACTTTTCTAGTTGGTGTTCCTGGAAACAACCTCCATCTACAAATGTAGTTTGTTTTTATACAAGTGGGTGACAGGAGGACACAAGGCCTGGCCAAGCAGAGGGCTGAGGTAACAACTTTCTCCATGCTGGGAGACTCTCACATTGGAACGTATTCTAGGCAAGTTTGGCGTCAATCCCAATGTGCAACCTAAAGAGAAGTAGGTTGTGCTCCCCACTGTGGTCCACATCAGTCCAAGCGGTCATCTGGTAGATGGGATTTCCTTCTTTGGAGAGCAGGTTGAGTCAATATGGAGCAAGGAATAAAGGTTGCAGGCCAAATCCTTGTATGGAACAGACAATGGCAAGTTACACAAGGAATTTTGACGTTTCCAAAACTGAGTCACTGAACTGGTACTTAACATAATCCAGTGTCAATATACTGCTGCAGGCAAGTCTTTTTGCTCTATTAGTTGTTTTCACAAGTTAATTCCTGTTTTTCTACCCTGTAAATCCTGTGGTTCCATTTTTTAAATTTTTGTTTATTTTCCTGAAGGTATTTAATTAAAATAGAAGTTTAAGAGTTAGTACTATTTTTGGCATACAGGCCAGACCAGTATTTGAAACAGATTTATTCTTTTCGCTGGCTATTCTTTCAGGATGGGCAGGATCCAACCTCAGGTTATTGTCTGATCCTTAGTTGAGAAGATTTTATTAAGACTCTACTATTCTGGTCAAGGAAAATTTCTTTTATATTCTCACTTTTGCTATAGCGTAGTAGCTGGGAATTTAGTATGGAAATTACAGAACCATGGAAAATTGGGCTGAGAGGGACCTTGTGAGATGGTCTAGTCCATCCCCCTGTCTCAAGGCAGATCATACATTCCTAAATTGTTTCTAATCAAAGATTCCCCTAACTTAATTTTAAAACTTCAAGTTCCACAATCTCTTTAGGCAGTATGTTACAGTGTTTTGCTATCAGAGGGTACATATTTACCCTCAGTTGATTTTGTTTAATACTTTGTTGTGCAGAAAAACTTGAAAAGGAGATTGAACACAGGAAAGCAAGACACAGGAAGCAGAAAGTACCTCCAATATCATCAACGCCAACTCTTTACGGTTAGAGGCAACCATGTGAGGTAAAGCCTTCCTAGTATATGTACAGAGCTCAGTATTTGAACTGGTTGAACTATTTCCCTAAATGCTCAAAACAAAACCTGCTGAGAAGCTCATCTTGCTCAAAGTTAAGAATCTCCTGTAAAGCAAAACCATTAAATCAGAAGAACATTAAAAAGCCTGTGAGATAATTTCCTGGATATATAGTGTGCAGATGATATTTTTACAAAGTGTCAGAAGATTTTCCTGCTAACATACATTGCGGAATCTCAAAAGTGAAAGGTAGATCACTCCTGAAAATTGCAGTCTCTTCTGAAACAGGTGATGATACTTCTAAATTTCCCAAGACAGTGTTTGAGATCTCACAAAAAAAAAAAAAAAAAAAAAATCAGTCCTTCACCAGGACTGCACAAGATGCTCACAACTTTCAAGACAACTACATCTGAGATAGAATAGTGATATTGGGCTCAGGAAAAAAATAAAACTGTGACTCTTCTAAGAAGTTCTAGTAAGTGTGGAAGAAGGAGAGAGAGGCTATGTGGGAATAAAGTCAACACAGAGTTAACAAGGAAATGTAAGACCAAATTCAGTAGAATTGGAGAGCAAAGTTTCTGAGCTGAGGATGAGGAAAGTCTTCCAGTAGAGCTGGGAGGAGCGCTTAACTTCAGTGATCCCCTAAATGTTTAACATGAAGGACAAGCATGACTGTCAGACATGATTGTTCTCATTTTTACCAATATCATAACTGATGCTTCAGACAGTATTTGCCAACCCCAATGTGTCAAGGTATCCTTCATGATACAACCCCATGTGCCAAGGTATCACTGAAGATATGAAATGGCATGAGGTACCTGTCTTTAGGCATCTGGATTCTACTCTTTATGACACGCAGCTGAATTTAAACCCCAAAGAAGAAAGCCTTGTGTAATCTCAAACTATGTGAGGTCAGAATCTTTGTCCTTGTCCTGGAGTAACTGTGCCAACTTGAAGAGTTTGTAGGTTATAATTGTACCCCATGGTGCAGCTCTACTAGGAGAATGCCATAGCCTGATGGACAGGACAATACTTTCAGACAGGACCTGCTGGGGTACTGAATATTATCAATGAAGTCTTAAATTCAAAACTAAAGCAATCCAAACCATCATTGAGATGTAGCCCTCCCAGAAGAAACATTTTTTTTCCAAAGCTCGTAACTCGAAATGAGCCATGCTTGATTAACTTCACTTGGGCCAGGAGACTAATCATGGGATGCTATTTATAATTTATTTAAGGAAAGTCAGACAGAGCATTAGAATAATATTCATAATGGAAAACATGTTACAGACTTAATATAGTGTCACTACTATAACTTAGTGAAAAGAGAGAACTAGGAACCTTCTCTAATTAGCAGAACTGTTGCCTTTTTTTTTTTCCATGTGTGTCTACTCTCCAGTGAAAAAGTTATTAAATATATGCGAGACTCCAATCCAGAGAGCAACTGTCCAGCTCATTTATTGGTGGGGTAATAGATCAGAAAGTTTCACCTCCTCCTTCTCCTCACAGCTGCCCCGCACACATGCACACACACGCAGAGGCCAGGAAACTCTACGCCTAGAGCACCTACCTTGGGTTTGAAGGCGATTAATTTCAGGACCATCTCAACAGTGAAGAGGCCAGTGAAGAGCATGTTGAGGATATTCATGGCTTCCTTGAACATGCAGCTCTGACCGTAGTGCTGAAAAATAGCATCCCGGCAGCAGTGTGAGGAACGGACATATCGGCTAGTTAGGAACCCACAGTGCTCTTCCTGATCTCCTTTTATGTTGAGGTTCTCTAAAGAAAACCCCAGCACGCTCCATTTTTTCAACTTAGAATTCCCATTTCCCTTCGCACATAAGTATTTCCATACTTCTAGCAATTTTTGCCATCTGGCTCTGGATCTGCTACCTTTTAAAAAAAGTCTTTTTGAGTGGGGCTACCAAAATCGCACGTATCATTCCAGTTGAGGGCTCATTGTAAATTTGCATAATGGTACAAGACAGTCTCCAATTGTGTTTGTTATCTCACCCTTCCCTAACACTTGGATTACTTTTTTGTTTGATTACTATTGCACAGTGAACAGGGGGTTCACTGAGCTGTTCATAATGATACCAAGCCATTCCCCAAGTAATTACACTTAATTCAGGATTCTGCAAAGCACACGAGCAGCTCAAATCATATCTTTCCAATATGCATTATGTTGCATTTGTCAACTCTGAATTAAATTTGCAATCATGCTGCCCATTCACTTAACTTTATTAAGATCTTATGAAGTTATTCTCCATCTTCTACTGATTAATTCAAGTAGTGTCTTCTGCAAATGTTTCCACCTCTCTCTTCATACCCCTATTTCCAGATCATTATACTTGAGACTGATTGCACTGCCTTATTCTAAGGTCATCTTCCAGTTCCTGTTATAACACCCCATTTGTAGTTGCTTTACTTTGATAAACTTTAACCAGCTGGATTGAATTTTCATATTCTGCATTGGCTCAGGGTGATTAAGTTAAAGGAGTTTCAGTTAAAACTATTCAGCTGCAGCTGAAAGCGAGGCAGGGAAAAAGATATTGTTGAAACATTTTCAGAATTTCTGTATCACTTTCCTTGAAAGACTCTAGTACCTGCAGGACTCTACTTAAACACTTGGAATTTTACTGGAATGTGTCTTTTGTGTTTGCTGTCCATTACAATGTTTGACCCAAACCTGGCCACAGTATAAGCCTTTGAAAACTACACTTTTCTCAAGATGGATATAGACTTCCTAGAATCTGCAGAGATGCTGTCTTGCCTGTGGGCTCACAAACATCTCACAGCTTCTAGCTCTACCTTGCCCTGGGCACGCACCATTGTCACAGCAACTGCGTGTGCTTCAAAGCCTCAGAGTGAACATAATGATCCCTCTCTCATGACAGCAGGGCAGTAGACACTTCAGCTGAGAGCAGAGCACCTTCTTGTGCTCATGCTGCCTCACTCCTTTGTTGGTACCTTAGGCAGGACAGCAGAGGAAGCCTTTTCAGTGGGAATGGGAAAGAGCTAGACCAGATGAAGAAAAAGTAGGGAGGCCAAGAAATCTGGTGAGATTGGATAGGAGGCAGTGAGAGAAAAAAAGGTGAAAACTGGCTGTGAATATAAACTTAAACTGTTAGTAGTGAGTGCTGGGAAGCTAAGGCTAGTTTTGAGGGGAGGCTGGAAGTTGGGCAGACTGGGATTGATCCAGCAGAAAAAGTAGTGGTGGGATGCTAAAGCTGAAAGGGAAGTTGGTGTAGGAGTGCACGGGGAGTTGGATTCACAATGAAGGACTAACTAGAGAAGGGAACAAAGTGTAGCAGACTATTGAATGGAAAGTGCAGAGAGAGACCAGAAAAGGTGTCCATGGAGGGGTAACTGCGACTGGGAGTCTGTGTAGTGAGAAGAAGAGAAGGACTGAGTGAGGAGTGGGAATCTGGCTTGTCTGGGCCACAGACCAGGTAAGAGAGTTCAGAGACTGACTGGGTGAGGAGAAAGAGTGGGTTTTAGGGAGGAGAGTGACAGCCAGACTAGCTTTTAAGCAGACAAAGTGTAGAAGAGAATAGGGATTGAGTGGCCAGGGAAATTGGGAGTGCAGAGATAGGCTCAGCAGGTGGAGAGTCTGGAACTGACTGAAAATGAAAGGGAGGTGAGGGAGGCCTTGGGCAGAGACAGACTGGAAGGAACAAGCCAGGAAAGTACAGACTTGGGGGAATGTAGAGAGCAGTTTGTGTCTATGAGGGCTCTTTCCTATGAAAGTAATGTAAGGCTTCTTCTTTGTAAGCTGGCTACTTAGTGAAAGTTTTGACTCCTTCCCCTTTACTGCTGTTCCACCTGCACATGGTAATCTGCTACCTCTGTTTGCTATTCTTGTAGATCCAGCTGCAAATGTTTCTTTGATGGAGTCATGTTAGATGTTTGGAAAGTTTTCGCACAGTAAGGAAAATGAATGCACAGCATAGCGGGTAGTAAGGCCAATCTGTAGCATCAGTAGTGAAGCAAGTTAGGCAAACACCTATCAAGAAATGCTTTAGGTGGGCTTGATCCTGCTTTTAGGTGATGGGACAGACAATACAGACTCTAGAGGTTCTTTCTAGACTGTTTCTATGTTTCTCAACACAGAATAAAGGAGATACTAGGGCCTTCCTACTGTCTACCCCAGTTTCCTTGATTGCTTTGTTTGCCAAAATATTTGCTCTCTACTTTTTAACACAGAAACACCCCAAATTTATAATTCAGATGTCAGGTGAGTGGCGGTTCCGGGCTTATTGCTGCATTTCATAGAAGACAAGTCAGAATTGAGAAGTCATTTCTTATATTGACCACTGAATTGGTCTGTGATACAACTTTTTTTCCCGGTTTGTTTTTAAGGAGTTAAAAGAGAAGTGTTGAAAGTGTGAGATAATAGCAGGAAGAGAGGCAGATTCCTCATTTTAATTAAATGTCACCAGGAAAGAACATGGTACAATGGTTTTTGTCATATCCTTATCACTCTTCCTCAATACAAGGTGTGAAGGTGAAAGTAGGTCTCAACCTCAGCCATTTCTACATTTTCCCTAACAGAGTCTAATAATTCATCACCTGTAAGGTTTTTTGCTTGGTT